GGACACTTCCTTATCAGGCTAACAGTATGTACGTAAACACTTTGTTAGCAAGCTAACACTATTTACGCACACATTTTAAATGGGGTGTCCATCTTAAATATGGGGGTGTCTTTGAAGACTTTTTTATGCTTTCTTGTGGTTGTTTTCATAATAGGAATAACCTATCAGATGTTTATATAGTTTGTAGCATAAATCCACATTTAAAAAATCGCATGAGTATAAATAAAATGGAGAGGCAACTTGTATTGTCTTATCCCACTGTGAAGGGCAGAGAGGACCCCCCCCCCGCACTGTGACCAATGAACATACTGTTAACAGTGTGAACAACATTTCATTTGTAGTTTCATTAAAAGTCGGCTGTTAATAGCGTGTATCCCAAATATTATTAACAGGGTTATCAGATGAAACAGTATCTACGTTAACCAGAACCATTATTATATTAGTACCATACAAATAAGATGTAAACAAGATCTGTATTAGTATCAAGTTGTATCTACAGATTTAAAAATCTTCACTGTATTAGTATCAAGTAGTATCTACAAATTTAAATATCTTCACTGTATTAGTATCGTGTAGTATCCACAAGTAGGATATAAACAAGATCCGTATTAGTATCAAGTTGTATCTACAGATTTAAAAATCTTCACTGTATTAGTATCAAGTTGTATCTACAGATTTAAAAATCTTCACTGTATTAGTATCAAGTTGTATCTACAGATTTAAAAATCTTCACTGTATTAGTATCAAGTTGTAACTACAGATTTAAAAATCTTCGCTGTATTAGTATCAAGTTGTATCTACAGATTTAAAAATCTTCACTGTATTAGTATCAAGTTGTAACTACAGATTTCAAAATCTTCGCTGTATTAGTATCAAGTAGTATCTACAGATTTAAAAATCTTCACTGTATTAGTATCAAATAGTATCTACAAGTAAGATATAAACAAGATCTGTACTAATATCAAGTGGTATTTACAGATTTCAAGATCTTCACTATATTAGTGTCGTGTAGTATCCACAAATAAATGTTTAACAGTGTAGTACCTTCAAGTAAGATTTAGACACGTTGCCCACTGTAATAAATATTATCTTAAAAGCACATAAATATTTCAAGGATGTTCAACTTATTATGTATACCTGAGACTGCCTAAGG